CAACCGACAGTGAATTAAAACAGGATATTTATTACCTTCCAGTTCCATGGATCAGGAGTCCGAGCACAGGTTAGCTGACTCCTCTGCTCACAAGGCTGCAATCACATCAGCTGTGCTATAGTTCTTACCTGAGACTGGAGGTCCTCTACCAAGCTCATTCAGGTTACTGGCAAAATTCAATTATCTGGGGTTGTAGGAATGTGTTCCCCTTTGCCTGCTAGCTGCCCGCTGGGGACTGTGCTCAGTTTGCAGAGACCACTGACATTCCATGCCACGTGGTCCCCAGAGGCTGACAAAGCACGATGTTTGCTTTCCTCCAGGCCAGCGGGAGTGCACCTCTCTGACTTCCTCTCCCCTACACCAAGTGGAGAAAGCTCTCTGCTTTTAAAAGATTCACCTGAAAGGTCAAATTCACCCAAGATAATTGTCCTCACAAGGGTAGTGTGTCATTATATTCACCGGTTCCGTTCACACTGAATAGAACTATACAGGGCATGTGAACCACAAATGGGAATATAGGGGCTGTTCTAGAATTCTACCACAGGGCAGGTGAAAATAATAGCAAAGTGTCCAGTGCTTATTTATTGCCAGCACTGCCTTAAATGCTTTTCAGCATGTAATCTTTAAATAATGCAACATTGTTTCTATCTTGTATTTCTGTTTTGTTTCTATTTCTATTGCTTTATTTTACAGATGGAGAAACTGAGGCTTAGAGGTTGGATGACTTTGCTTCATATCACTCAATTGGTAAGAAGCATAATCTAGACTTTGAACTCTTTCTGACTCCAGAACCCGTTCTTATCCACTTTGCCTCATCAAAGCTGGTTCTCCTGTAACTAGGGGAATGAAGATTATCACTGTTTTCTGGATGCAAACAGTGGTTTGCGAAGATTAAATAACATACTTAAGACCACCCAGTTAGTAGTAAGTAACAGAGCAGCCTTCAATCTAATCTTCTTCTCAGCCCCACACTATAGGCGTCCCATGTAATTGAGGGACACTGCCAAATTGCTTGCCAACGAGAAGAAAATGTAATAAGACACCCTTCCCCAGAGACAGAGGGAACCAGTGTGTTTTCTGGCTCCAAGGCTTAGTAGAATTATGATACACGTTATCAGTTCTATTTCTTTCACCTGTAGTGAGAAGCAGAAGTGTTTTATTCCCCTGCTGAGGAAAATAATCTGAACTATGGGCACCTGACAATCACTCCCTTAGACGTTTCATAACACTTAGCACCAGGAGCAGGTCCTCTCCCACTGTGGTAAGAGGTTAGTTAGTGATTATTCACTTCCCCCTCTCTGTGGCTTTACACCTTTAAATGAAAGGTGTACTGGAGTCAAAGGAAATAACTATTCACGGGTGAGAATACGTTTCCTTGGAACTAATATTGTTTTTTTTCATTACTTCTTGCTTGGAGACAAAACGGCTTTGACGCAGAGCTGTTAACTAATACAAATTATCCATTGCCAAGAGTCATCACGTCACACCATCCCCACTTGCGCTTTGGCAGCCAGGGACCAGTTTTCCCCGAGAGTGGTGTCCACCTTGTTCCCCCTGTTCTTTCCCATGACTACAAATGCAAACAGTAAACTGGGTCCACAGACAGACATTAAAAGAGCATATTGTCATTATCCCCAATACCTAATGTCTAATCTCCCCTGTCCTGCAATTGCTTTTCAGGCAAGAAACAGAAAACAGTCATCAGAAAAGTTTTACTTTACATGAAAGTGCCATGGTTTGGGTTATAACTGCACTCCTCTGTTAGCAGCCACAGCTCCCTTCCCAGGGTTGTAGCTAGCCCCAGGCACCAGGAGGACCATTCCTTTCTCTTGCCCCCCTAGATGAGGGCTGGTGATAGCTGATCACTGACACTAGCCGCTGGGACCTTCATGATCCCTTGATGGTTGCTTTAGCCCTGCTCACACCTGAGTAAATAGCTCTTTTATAAAAATACTCTTAAACCAGGAACTCTGGCTGATAATTGCTCCAAACTGAAACTGCCTTGGGAAAAATTCTAACAGTGAGAACGTGATGGCAGTGAAAGAGATCTAACTCACCAACTTCATCTTGCCTTGAACCTTCCAGCTACCCTTGTTCGTTCCTGGGCATAGGCCAAACCAACTTTGTGAGGCATTTAGTTTATAGTTTAAGACAACGACGACAACAGCCCTTTCCCAAAACAAACCTCATTCTTGCCTGGGGACCAGACTGCCTTTGTGGGACTAACAAATTAGCCACATGATTAGAAATTATGGTTTAGAAGTCATGCAGCCAGAGGACACAAGATTCCTAACTTCCCCAGTTGCTCCTATAGATAACATTACTATTTTAGAACCTAAGATTGGTGCTTGAGATATTTTTCAGACCCTGAATTCTGATGGATAAGCTGATACCAGCCAGACTGGCAAACTGAATCATTTGGTCTTGTGGCTCCTACTCAGGAATCAATTCAGTGCAAGAAGACAGCTTCAACTCCCTATAATTTCATCCTCAACCCAACCAACCAGCATTCCCTATTCTCTAGCCCCCTGTTCACCAAACTATCTTTAAAAACCTCTAGCCTCTGAATTTTTGGGCGGGCTTATTTGAGTAATAATTAAACTCCAGTCTTCCATTTAGTGAGCTTGAAGTGTATTAAACCTCTTTTTCTATTGCAATTCCCCTATACTTGGTAAATTGGCTCTGTCCGGGCATCAAGCAAAATGAACCCATTGAGTGGTTACAAATGCTTTCATAAAAGTATTGACTTCAGCAACAAGTCTAAACCTGTTTTAAAATCATTAGCATATTATTGAGGGGGAACTGGACATTGGTGCATTGCCCAAAAAACACCACACAGATTACCTTACAGTCACAAGAGGGAGAACAGAATGCTCCTGTAGAAGAAGACTGTGGTTTGCCTTAATTACTGGTCAGTACTAGAATCTCTAACGGCGAGCCAACCAAAAAATACATATATCATGGCAAAATTCAAGAAGAAGTACATGTCTCCTATGATGTAATCTGGCTAACAAGGTTTACATTGAATCCATCATGCTTTTGCATTTTACTTTCTCTTTTGTTTTGTTGTTGAAGAGATGATGTCTCACTATATTGACCAGACAGGTCTCAATCTCCTGGGCTCAGGTGATCCTCCTGCCTTAGCCTCCCAAAGTGCTAGGACTATAGGCATGAGCCACCACGCCTAGCCACATTTTACTTTCAGTTTATAAGAAATAAGAAAGTCAGATAAACAAGCTAAATGAATCCACAACGAAGCAATTCCTCAAATCCAGAAAATGGGTTGTTCCTCAGGTTAACCAGCCAAATTCATTTAACAAGCCTAATGTCATGTTTATGCTTGGAAAAGGCATAAGAAATGAAGAAATATCTATGCAATGTGTAGGCCTGAATTGGTTCCTGATTGGACAAATGGACTACAAAAGGCATTATGAGGATAATTTAGATCATCAGATGTAGACTAGATATTAGGTAAAATACGGTGACATATAATGACATGGAAAGCTTTATAAAAACCGTATGTAACAATTCATAAAATGGTGTTTTTATCATTTTGTAAAAAAAGATATGTCTGTATATACATGTATTCCTAAAAATTTTAAGGATAAACGATAGGATATTAACAGTAGTAAGCTGTGGATGGTAGGAATAGTGTATTTTTACTTCTCTTATTTATGTTTATCTATACATGGGCTGCTTTGTAATTAGGAGAGGTTTTTAATTTAGTAAGGAGAAAGGTTATCAGCATAAGTGTGTAAGTTTAACCAAAGCCAGGGGAGTAAATTGCATTGCCCAGGGAAGAGCATGTGAAAAACAAGAAGGTGGTTGAGGAAACAGCTTTTGACAACATCAAGATTTCAGAGAGAAGAATGGAAGGAGACCTGGTCAGAGACCGGAAAAGGGAACAGAAGAAGCAGGAAAGCCAGAAGAGGAGAGTGCTCCCAGAAACAGGAATGGTCAGTTTCCAAATGCTGCAGAGAGGCCCGCAGGATGAGGGTTAACACTAGGCCTCTGACCTCACAGTGGGAAATGCATGGAGACTTTTGCCCAGGGAGGGGTGAGGAACTAGAGGCTGCTCTTGTAATAAGTTGGTAATGGAGGGAAGGAGAAACATAGGCTGTTGTGCACGGGGCAGGGATGCCCATCTTTGCACAAGGAGAGCCATTGCCATTCAGGTTGTATTTTTTGTGAATGAAAACCCCTGGATCCCCATCAGGGTACACTGTGAGTGGTACCCCCTGAGGGAAATGAAAAGGAGGACCCTAGGAAGCAGGAGGAGGAACAATTTATTTGGAAATGGAGAAGAGTTAAGCACTTTGCAGAAAGTTCCAGGGAATGGAGAGATAGGAAATCTAGGAGGAGGAGGAAGGACAACCAATGCCACAGGATCCAGGCTTGTGCAGAGGAGGAAGTGAGGTGGAAAGCAGAGGAAGCAGGATGAGGCTTGCGGAGGACTGAGACAGGTGTCCTGTGAATCAGAGGGCAAGGGGCCAGCACCAGAATGTGCCAGTCACGCCTTCCATGGAAGTCGCCAGACTACAGTGATGATTAGCAATTATAAGTAGACTTTGAAAGCAACTTTTCCAAGTGGCAGTGTGCTGCGTTGGGGATTACTATGGAGCCATGCTGGCAGTTCTGAGATCATGTGAACCTCATACGCTACTGGGGAAGGGGGCTGCCAACATGATGGGATTTAAGGGATAGCCAATGACCCATCACCCCCAAAATATCTCCCAGGGGCTTCTCACAGTGACAGGCAATGGGATAACGTGAATAGATCGCGCAGTGCTGAGTCAGTGGACGAGCAGTCCATCTCTGTTATCATGTACCTTTTTTTTTTTTTTTGGCACTTCAACGAATGCAAATCATGTCTTTTTTGAACTTCAGTTTGACTTGCTTCCATGAACATTTACCAAATACCCACTGGGCAAAAAATGGCACCGTTCTCAGTTCCGTCCAGTATGTTTCATTTGATCAAGAATCTATTTAGAGAAGGGGCTGGAACATTCCGGAGTTGTGCCTGCAGTGAGAAAGATACAACAGTTCTCTATGTGCCTGGAACAGAGAAATTGCTCCCCGTTCCCGCCAGAAAAAAAAAAACCCAATAGAATGAAGGTGCCATGTGGACTGTGACAGTCCTCTTCACCCCATCACTGAACCTAAGAGCTCCCGCGTCTTCTGGCTTTCTGTCCCGTGGAGTCCTGCCTTGGTGCTGCAAAGGGTGCCGGGGTCGGCAGGTCTCAGCTGTGCACGTAACCCTCTCAACGGCTCGGGGCTTCGAGGAGACCAGCAGCTTGGCTCAGGGTCCAGCAGCTGCGAGCGCATTAATTAGAGACTGTATCCCGACCGCTCCACTTGCTATGCCGGGCGACTCTGGGACAAGCTGCTGGTAGGCGGGTCTTTTTCTCTGGTGCCTGTTTCTATACACTCATCTTCTCAATTTATCTTTCAAGCAATACCTTGCCGGAGAGGAGTAGTATCCTCCATTCCTTTGTACAAATGTGTACGAAATGTAGAGATTCCAGCCGACAGAGGGGTGGGAAGGAATGCGGCAATGGGAGAGACTGCAGGGTGGGGCTGGGCTATTAATTACAGCTCAGTGGGGATGGGGAAGGAAACGGTAACTCAGAGAGGGGCTCCAGAACTAAAAGCAAACAGGAAGGTTTTAATGAGAAAGTCCCGGAGAGGAAATGACTCAGTCCTTTGGAAAGAGTGGGCTATCCAAAGGGGGGGGCAGTCCGAAGTGGGGGGACCCTGAGGAGGAGCAAGACTTTTTTTTTTTTGGTGCCCAAAACATAGAAACCAGCTTCATTCTTCACTCAGGGATTCGAGGAGGGGAATCCTTGGGGTGGGAGCAGCTGTTGCTACAGGACTAAAAAATACATCTTGACTTTTTCCAGCAGGGCAACTGAGGCCACATGGTGAAGAATCTGTTTGGAGAAAGGACTAGAAGATTCTGGGGCTGTGCTTGCAATGAGGTACATACAACAGTTCTCCCTGTGCCTTGAGCAGAGAACTTCCCTCAAAAAAAAAAAAAAAAAAAAAAGCCAGACAAAAGAAGAACTAAGGTAAGAGAGTTTCCTGTGATCACATTATGCTCTGTGCCTGCACAGCAGAGAGGGAACACATTTTCCTATTCAAAAATCAGGGCATGGCATTTAACAAAACATATTTTTTCAGTTTCTGAATTTGTGTACATGAAGTACCTTAAAATGATATAAAAATGAAATTGTACTTAGTCATAAATTGAAGTAAATGAATTTATTACAATTACAACATTGCATGAAATTGGAAGTGTCTTGGAAAATCTGGAATGAATGAACACTTTTTTTCAACTGAAGCATATCTGACAATAGCTGAGGAACAAGTTTATTAGTTTTCCTGAATCAGTGGTTGAGGGAGGAGGAGTTAGGGGAGAACAAGTTCCCTTCTGAGAGTTGGGGTCAGGGAGAGAGAGGCCCTTGCAGTGTGTTTGAGTGAAAAGGACAAGGAAGCTGGGACCTTGAGGAACTGGCCTCTTGATTTTCAACTCCCTACCTGTGTCTCAGGAGAACCTCAGTTTCCTGATCTGCAAAGTGCTCATGGAATTGCTACAAGCTGATATCCACTGGGCAGCAGTGTCTGTCCCTGATGGGCTGTACACGAACCTTTTCTTCCTTGACCCCATCTCAGGTGATGTATGGAAAGACGCTCCCACTTTTGAAAGGTGTCCTGTCACTGAAAACACCTTGCAATTTTGCTGGCATGTGGGGATGGAATAGACATGGGCATTTGGGCCTCCTTCAGAAGGGCAGTGAGGCACAGTCCCTTCACACAGGGCAAGCCAAGCTTCGGCTGGTCAGTGCCTCTGTGCACTGGTAATGGGCTGGGCCTTTCACTGGCTGGAGAGGAAGCTCTAAACAGTCTGGGAGCAGAGAACTGTTTCTGTTGAACTCGGCTAGACCACAGGCTTGGTAATTTTGGAAGAGTGAAAATCAAGAGCAGTAAAGAAGGAAAAATTGTAAACACAAATGACCCGCAGAACCCCCAGTACATTTTGTCTGACCTGAGAAGCAGCCTTGGCAGGAAGTCTGTGAGAATCTCAATCATGATCACGAGGATCTTCCCAGCCTTGGCTGATCCAGCAGAGGGCTCCTTCTGGGACTTAAAAGGGCATTTTATAAGTTACTCACCAAGGACCTCCTGCCAGGGGTAGGGCAGAGACTCATCATTTCCACCTCAACCCAGCTTTCCATGCTGTCACTTCTGGGTACCCTGGCTTCTTCTAAAGAGGTCTCTGTCTTTTAAATTTTGTCACTTGCACTACTTGCTTCGATGACTCTAAACTTGGCATGCCATTCTGTGGCTTTGCTGCTGACTCACATGCTTTTGACTGCATTACCAAGCAAGGCTTGAAGCCCAGTCTCAGGAGGAGGTGGCCAGTGCTTCCCATTTCAGTTACCAAGGACAGCTGGGGGCTTCTGCCATCACCAGCACACTCTCTTCCTCAAGGTCTCTTTCCTCATTCTAAATTAGCCTTCAAAAAAGTTTCCAAGTGGGGCCTTGGGAGGAGTTCAAGTCAATCCAAATGAACACATTTAAGTACCTACTATGTGCCAGGCATGCTGTGGGATTCCAGGGTGTGTCAAACCTTAGTTTCTACACCCCTGGGCCTTACATGCCTAGAGAGGAAACAGTTCCAACAGGCTGGGAGTGCAGGCAGACTGATGTAATGGGAACAGTTCATTGTTCTCGTATTCATTCAAAAAATGTTTACTGAGCACCCACTATTGCCATCCACCTTTCAGTTCCTTGGGGCTATACCAAAGGGCTCAAAGATGGGATATGAAATCAGACAGAATTGAGTCCAAGCCCAGCCTTCAATATGAGCATGTTCTTGGGCAAGTCCCCTAAACACACTCGTCTCCAGATTTCTCATTTTTAAAATAGAAACCATAATAATCATATTAACATTAGTAATACTATTTTGCAGAGCTCTTGTGAAGTCGAGAGGTAGGTATGATAGGCATGCAATACATGTTGCTGATTGGTTGTTCTAAAGTAGATGAACAAATATGCATAATGGTGGAATATGCAAGTAGAGAGGTAAAGAGAATTAATTTTAATTTTTGCTGCTCATGACTCAATGGATGGGCATGGCAGAAGGAGAAATAAAGCTGCATACAGTCAGCCTTCACATGTGCTGTTTTCACATGTGTAGATTCAGCCAGGCTTGGATTTTTCCACATGTGGATTCAGCCAGTACAACTCAAAATAATGCAGTATGACTACTACTGACATAGCATTCACTTTGTATTAGGGATTACAAGTAATCTAGAGATTATTTGAAGTATACTGGAAGATATGTGTGGGTTATATGCAAATACCATATAAAGAACTTGAGCATCTGTGGAATTTGGCATCTGTGGGGGTCCTGGAGCCGATCCCCCTCAGATACTGAGGGACAGCTGTACAGACAGGTGGCATTCTAGACCAGGGAATGCCTAAAGCCGTGTTCCTCAAGGGTCCATGAGTTTTCTAATTTTTCATTTTAAAACTAGATTCTGATGATTATCTCATTTATAGAGATGCATATACATTTGACCCTTGAACAACATGAATTTGAACTATGCAGGTTTATTTAGATGTCTATTTCTTTCTGCATCTACCACCCCTGAGACAGCAAGACCAAACGCTCCTTTCCTCCTCATCCTCAGCCTACTCAATTAGATGACAGGATGAAAACCTTTACGTTGAGCCATTTCCACTTAATGAATAGTAAATACATTTTCTCTTCTTTATGATTGTCTCACAAATATCTCCTTTGCTCTAGCTCACTTTATTGTAAGAATGCAGTATATAATATATACAGCTTACAAAATACGTGTTTATCAGCTGTTTATGTTATCAGTAAGGCTTTCGGTCAACAGTAGACTATCAGTAGTTAAGACGTGGGGGAATCAGAAGTTATAGGTGGATTTTCTACTGCATGTGGGTTGGCGTCTGTAACCCCCAAGTTATTCAAGGGTCAACTGTATATACTACATATAAATATAATATGTATGTACTTACAAGCTGACACATTCTAAGTTATCTGAATGTCCAGTTTATAAGCCAGGTACTGCATGATTTCAGCCTCTATATATTAACGTGTGTATTACATGTGTAATAAATTAATGCAAAGTAAACTATTTATTTTCAAAGCTAGTGAGGAATGAAGAAAGGTGGACTTAACACAAAAATGTGTTTGCAGAGCAGGGTCCATTTTATACAAAGGAAGGTTTAGAAGTTGTTTGAATAGAGAGAAATAGAGACCAGAGAAGATATTTACATCAGGCACATGGTAAAACGGATGGACTGATGTCAAAAGCTTATGGGCTTGGAGGGTCACTGCATGTGAACAGAGATTTCATTTTACCAAAACAATATTAGGTCACTCTTCATGAATGTCATTAACTACAATTTTACTGGTTTTGTGGCTTTTTGGTATTTAAAACATAAATATGTTAGTTGTATATAAACACTAAAGTAAAATGAGCTAATACCTGGTTTTATATTGTACAAATTTAAATAACATGTGAATACATACAAATAATGTAAGTCTAATCTAGGGGTCCGCTAGAGCTCTAACAGGCAGGCTGTGTTCTCGTTTTAGGACTAGGCTGCTGGATTCTCTCCTCTCTGTAGAAGGAGAAAGGCTTGTTAGAAATGCTGCCATTTTCCAGAGGAGGGCCTGCGTGAGCAGATTCCTGGGAACATTCCAGAAGCGAAGCTATCACAGATGATCTTAGAAGGGTGCAAAGCAGCATGTACTATTGAGAACAGACTCTGTTTCCCCAGCTTTCTCCCAGATGAACTTCCTGACTCACAGAAACCTGACCTCCTATTGCTTTTCTCTACTTTTTTCACCTACTTATTCTACAAGCTGCGGATGTGCCACGTGCCAGCTATTGCACTAAGCACAGAGATGCAGTAGAAAACAACATGGACATGGTCCCTGTCCCCAAGGACTTACAATGGGATGGACCATTGTATTAAACTTTAACTCTCAACTCTCACTTCCTGTTCTTTTTCACAAACCTAAGTCTTTAGAATCATACACCAAATTCCCACCCAACTTTTGCAAATAAACAAACTTCTTTTTATTTATTCAACCACATACCTAAAAGACAGCAGGTGTGACCCAGGTGTGTCAGGGACATTTTCTCTAGGCTTTTTCTTTTTTTTTTTTTTTATTTGAGACAGAGTTTCACTCTTGTTACCCAGGCTGGAGTGCAATGGCACGATCTCGGCTCACCGCAACCTCCGCCTCCTGGGTTCAAGCAATTCTCCTGCCTCAGCCTCCCGAGTAGCTGGGACTACAGGTGCGTGCCACCATGCCCAGCTAATTTTTGTATTTTTAGTAGAGACGGGGTTTCACCATGTTGACTAGGATGGTCTCGATCTCTTGACTTTGTGATCCACCCGCCTCGGCCTCCCAAAGTGCTGGGATTACAGGCGTGAGCCACCGCACCCGGCCTCTCCAGGCTTTTTCTTAGTGCTTGCCTGATTCTAGGCTAGGTAGTTACAAAAAGCAAGGTCATTGGAATTAGGGAGCTGTGGCAACTTAGGTTGGTTCTTTGGAAGCAGAACCTGAGGCAGGGTTTTGAGGACACGAGATGTATTGATTTATTCAAGAAAAACTTGTAACAAAGGAAGGGAAGTGGGAGAGTGAACGGGGAAGAATGAAATAAGAATGTGTTCTCAGAAAAAAAGTCCAGATGTAATCCCCAGAGGACTTTAGAGCATAAATGATGTCCCAGACTTTCTTTGGAGTGTGTATGTATGTGTGTATATTGGAGGTGAGGGGGGACTGGAGGGATAACTTTCTAGCTGACACAGCTCCTGAGAGCTTGAAGGATAATTTCTAGAGAAGGGAGAACCTGTGAGCTGTCAGCTTACCACTCCTGTAGGATGAGCACACCAGCCTGATAAAGGGGATCTGAGTGGGACACCAAATGAACCCACCACACCAAGGTTCAAGTGCAGGGTTTGCCTTCACAAGTTAGCATGACCCTTATATGAGCGGATTTGACCCACTGTTGCTAGC